AAAAAAAAAAGGTTAATTAAAAGAATAATCTTAGTTAAATAGAAAACACAATTTTATATAAAACATTCCTAGTACCACCAAGGGGGTCCTCATATAAACATGTCAAATGTGTGTATTGTATTTGATAGTTTTTCACAATAACATATTACTTAAATTGAAAAACTCCTTGGAAAAATCTGTTTTATAAAAGTGTTATGTTATTTTTTTTCATGCATAAAGTGAAATTATCCTTAGTTTGTTGTAATGCATACCACGAAGGAGTTCATAAATCACACACTGAGGGAACATCACTATATTGTAATTATTTATATAGGCTTTTTCGATCAAAAATGTTCTGGATCGGTCAGGGGGTACTTGGCTGAGAAAATGTTTCAAAGGGGGTACATTACTGAAAAAAGTTTGAGAAGCACTGCTCTAGACGACGTGAGTAGACTCATGCTTGACTGTTGGGTTCACATATATAGTTGTGTGTTGAGCTATATATTCACTGACTTTCTGATGTGAACTTATCTGAGAAGTCAAGGACTCTATCTCTTCCACACTACTTCGGGAGCCTAACTCAGCAGCAGCAGCTTCCATGACCAGTGCTTTAGCGAGTGCTGACTCTGCTTCTTTCTCATGCTGAAGAGCATCCAATTCCGCTTCGATACGAGCTTTCTCAATTTTTATTTCCATTTCTCGTTGTGAAAAGGCTGCCCTAGCCTGAGCTGCATTAGCTTCTGCACGTGCCTTAGTAGCTGCCATGCTAACACTTGTTGCTGTTGAAGTGCGTGAGGATTTAGCAAGGCGGGCGGATTTACTACTGTGGGATACATGAGAACGTGTTTTAAGACTTTCCTTGTCCGATGTTGATTTCAACTTATCCTCCATGATGTTGAATTACAATAACTTGTTGAAAGCAGTATGTGTCTGGGCTGTATGCCCTGGGATATGCAGCAAGCAGAGCATCATACACACATACATCCACATCTAGATCCAGTTCTTCTGTAATGTAGGTATCATTTCACTGTACTGTTCTCGTTTTCAACGTGTGGATATTAGGGGTCTAACGGTTCACAAACATTTCGGTTCGGTACGTACCTCGGTTTTTAGGTCACGGTTCGGTTCGGTACGTTTTCGGTACAGCAGAACAAATTATCACAAAACATAACGTATTTTTTTCAAATTATTATTAAACTGGGAATATTCACTCAAATAAATACAAAATATAATAAAAAAAACATTAAGGTGCAGCATTTCGATTAACTGAAATAATCTGTATTTGAACTTTACTGTACTAGTACTCACAAAACATAAACTATTAGTTTTGGGGTTTTAATGATTATTAAACTATGAATATTCACTCAAATAAATACAAAATATAATAAAATAAACATTAAGGTGCAGCTTTTTAATTAACTGAAATAATCTGTATTTGAACTGTACTAGTACCTAAGCAGCCAGCTTGACATTAGGACTTGCTTGTCATTGTATTTTCATGTTGTTCTAAAGAAAGATGAACTTGTCCACATTGCTTGCCGAAAGGGCAGATCTGCTGGCACTAACAATGTCTCCTGCTGTGGAGAACACCCTCTCTAGGGACAGAGGTAGCACAGCCAGGTAGCGCTTTGCTAACATGGCAACATAAGGATATTTGGTGTTTGTAATAGCTTTGGCTCGGTCTGAACTCTCTGCGAGTGGTGGAGGCTTAAATGCTAGCGGGAGTTGGGTTTGCACTTCAGTCTTTTTTCTTTTGGTACCGGTGATATTCACGTTCGGGTGATGCCTTTTCAAGAGTGTGCAAGTTTGATGTATTGCCAGCCACGTAACCAATTTTAGTTGAACAATGCCGACAAACAGCTTTGGTTCGGTCCACCTGTCTTTGTCCGTCATCCTTGTACGTAACTGCGAAACCAAAATATTCCTAAACCGGAGACTTCAATGATGCTGGAGGATTTTCGAGCTCAACTTTATCTGCGTTCGCCATTTAGACAGTTCCTCAAATTACTGACTACATTTGAACGCATCCCTCTGACATAGTATGCCTCTCGTCCAATGAAATGACTTGCTCGCTCTATGACGCGTTGAACACAATGGGAGCAAAATACTCTGAATGCTGCGACGCAGCACCTGAGATTACTTCCAAGAAGTTGTTCACGTTCTCAATTTTTTAAGTGTAACGTTATATTCGTTCGGTACACTTCGGTACACATGTGTACCGAACCGAAGGGCCCGTACCGAATAATTTCGGTACGGGTACGTGTACCGTTACACCCCTAGTGGATATTGAAACTTAACAGCCAGCTAAACTCTCCTCAGCATCATTTCTCCAAGTAACAGGCAGGTGTTGTATTTGGCAGGGATTTTATTGGTAAGAAGTGTGAAACTGAAACAAAATACATTTCTCCATAAGTACACATAAAACAATGATATGTTCTTAACATTTACAGAATAAATATACTTTTTACAAGAACAGGTTATTGCAGGTAAATATGCAATGCAACATTACACAGCATTACGTAACACACTATAACACAGCAACAAGTTCTTACAAAAATAATAATTATCCTTACTACAAAAATATATTACCACAAATAATATCAAACACTTGTAGCTAAGATAATAATTAGTAACTTGACTTACTGATAATGCCACGTTTTGGGCTTAGAACGAAGGATGGATGGGGATTCTGCAGCGAGTGCTCCCATTACATGCTTATTGCATTAGTGTCCATGTGTAAAAGGACTTCCTGGAACTTAAGGAAGTGGTCATAGCCACAAAGGAAGTGCCATCTCTTTCAAAGTACATTTCAAAATAAAAGCTGCATTCTAACTGCTAATACATTCTTATTTGTGTTCCATGACAATAACCCTTATTTGAATCATTAGGGTCTGAAAGTCATTAAATGAGGCAGGGCTTAAAGCCCCTGTCACACTGTCCAGAAATTGACACCCGATGGACACACGAATATGGAATTGTGAATTTCGCATGAAGATGGCCCGAACCACACACGAAGGCAACATTTACATTACATTTAAGACATACAACTGCAATGAAAGTACCAAAAACAATTATGTTACAGTACTATGATACTGTACTGATATCTTCAGACTTTGTTCTTTACTTTATCCGTCGTTATATGTAGAAACTATTACGTTTTCTCCGTAATGTTATTTCCATAACAACAACAACTTCCTGTCAACTGTCCTTCAAAATAATATATTATATCCTTTTTAGTTTCACAGAACACAAATTGGGTTATTTACATAATATATTTACATGATTTTGTTGTGCAATAAAACAACCCGATGGACACACGATTAAGGAAATGTTCAAATTCGACTGTGATCGTAGCAACATCGGGCCATTCGTGAGGGCATCTTAAGCCTTCGTATGACCGCCGGTGGAGTTTCTCAGGCTCCGGCAGCAACTTCGTGAGCGGTGGCAAAATCTTTGGCATGCCAAAAAATTGCCGAAGGACCTTGCGAAGGTTCATTTTCGTGTTGAATTCGTGTGTCAATTTTGCCCTTCGTAAGGCCATCGTTAGGGCATCTTGTTATCATCGGTGCCATCGGGCATTCGCCCCGATCAGAGTGAGGGCGAATGCACCGATGATAACACGAAGATGACACGATTTGACAAGATGCCCTCACGAGTGCCTTACGAAGTTCCCGCTCACGGAGTTGCTGCCGGAGCCTGAGAAACTCCACCGGCGGTCATACGATGGCTTAGATGTCCTCACGAATGGCCCGATGTTGCTACGATCACAGCCGAATTTGAACATTTCCTTTATCGTGTGTCCATCGGGTGTCAATTTCGGGACAGTGTGACAGGGGCTTAAGGGAAAACTCAAGTGTGCACGCTCTATGTGCTCTATGTCCTGCCTCCAGCCTGTATCAAGTTCTCTTTATACATCAATGGTAATTCTCAGCTATACAGCGTGCCATGTAACTGTACTGGGCTGATCATTACATTACATTGCATTTAGCTGACGCTTTTATCCAAAGCGACTTACAATAAGTGTGTTCGACCAACAAAATACAAACTTGAAGAAAACAGAATCATATAAGTACATCAGGCTTCATAGAGCTAAAACATTTCAAGTGCTACTCAACTGGCTTTAGATAAGCCAGTCCTTTATTAGTATAAAAGTGCTTTGTTAATAGTTCTATCGCTCGAAGTGGAGTCGAAAGAGATGAGTTTTCAGTCTGCGCCGGAAGGTGTGTAAGCTTTCTGCTGTCCTGATGTCAATGGGGAGCTCATTCCACCATCTTGGAGCCAGGATAGCAAACCCACGTGTTTTTGCTGAGTCCCCCTCGCAGTGAGGGTGCAGCGAGCTGTTTGGCTGATGCAGAGCGGAGTGCACGTGCTGAGGTGTACGGTTTAACCATGTCCTGGATGTAGGAAGGGCCAGATCCATTCGCAGCATGGTACGCAAGTACCATTGTCTTGAAGTGGATTCTAGCAGTTACCGGAAGCCAGTGAAACTTAAGCTCAGTTCAAGATAAAACGGAACTAATAATGTCACGGTGTGGAAAGAGGACACTGACGGAACAGCTCTGTAAACACAGCCTTCAGGTGTTGTTGTTTGAAAGCCCTGTTTTATTCTATTTACCCTTAATCGTGCCATAGAGGAGAAACGTACATTGTGCATTTGACCCATCCTAGTGTTAGCAGCAGTGGGCTGCCATTATGTACGGCGCCCGGGGAGCAGTGTAGGGAACAGTACCTTGCTCAGGGACACCTCGTAGCACTTGGTCTTTCGGGGACTTGAACCGGAGACCTTCCGGTTCCCAAGCCAAGTCCCTATGGACTTCGCCACCAGCGTCCTATATATCCCTTTTTTTTGTCTTCTTTTTCAACTTTCATCTAATAAATAAATAAATGTTTTCCAGAGGTGTTCAATGGAGCCTTTTGAAAATTAAAAATGAATATAACTATTGAAACACATTCCCAAACTAATCAAAGAACCTTCTCTGAGTCAGCCTTTAGATAAACGTGTGTTTCTTGTGTGTTTGCAGATGCTAACCATGAAGCAGCAGCAGAGGCCATAGAGAACATGGCCGACGCAGTCACACACGCTCGCTTTGTGGGAACCGACCCTGCCAGCGATGAAGTGGTCCTTATGAAAATTCTGCAGGTACGACATGTTTCCTCATTGGAGCCTCAGTTGTCTGCACCAACCTGATGGAGCCCGGCCCATAAGGTTGTCTCAATCCAGCCTTCCAATAAAATAGACTTTTTTTAGTTTTAAGTCTTTAGTTTTTTGTAATAATGTAAGTTTCTATTATGTTTAATTAAGAATGTGAGAGAGAAGTGTACATTTATTTTCATGGTAATTCAATGGCTTTCCTGCGGCCCTACATCATACGTGTAGTTGGAACACAAGTAAAAACAATGCTTTCTTATTTTCTTGGCTCTGTAGGTCTTATCTCAGAAATGCTCCTGTAAGGACACATGTACAACGTAGTATATGTTTACTGTTTACAGAGTATATATATTAGGAGATATACACATTTGGATCAGATTTCAACTGGAACTTGTGCCGTTTGAAGTTTTGTGTTTAGTAGTTATTGTGCTGATATGCTACAACAAGAGTAGATACTACTACTGCAGATAGGAGATAAGTGCTGAAGTGCAGACAGTATAAGCACCATTTATTTTCTATACCCCAAATACTCATTTAAACCTGATGAGCATAATATTTCTTCTTTATAAAAAACTAAAAACATTGGTTTTGCAGAGTCTGGAAGAAGGCAAAACAACATTCTGTGTTACTGTTTTATTATCATTTTAGTTTTATTTATCAAGTATCTTTAAAGTTTGCCTATGGTAGCATACATTGTGGTGTGCATATATTCTACTTATGTTCATAAATCCCAGCATTTGCTTTGGCAGTGATGCTTATGCTGTGTATGCATGAGTGCTGTGGAGCTCTGTGCTTTGAACAGTATGTGTCTGTGCCGATGTGGCAGAGCGAACTTTGATTCCTCCACAGTGTGTGTTTGATGACATTGGTGTGATGCTGTGTTTCAGGTCCTCAGGACTCTGCTGCTCACACCGGTCGGAGCCCATCTGACCAACGAGTCGGTCTGTGAGATCATGCAGTCCTGCTTCAGGATCTGCTTTGAGATGCGTCTGAGTGGTGAGCAGCAACACACACTCATCCACATCCATTTCTGCTGCGTGTCCTTTCAGGGAGAGCTGATGTTAGATTGTATGCTTCAGTTACAACCACATCAACGCATGCTACACACTTTGTTTAGTAACTTCTATGTTTTGTGTGTATAAGCTTCTTCTGTATTTATTTATTTAGTTTTTGACCATCATGTTACAACAGTGGTTACAAACTTGGGGGGTCAGGACCTCCAAATGGGCCAATATGAATAGTAACGTGAATGAGATGAGGAATGGCATAGAAATATAATCAGGAAAATGCTCTGTGGAACAAAAGGTTTTTGCCAGACTGTATTGTAAAATACTGAATGCTTTCACCCATCGTGCCTTTGAAATGTTTGAAATTCAACAATCAGATGGTCAAATACATCAGTTCATTCTAGCAGTAACAAATATAATTACATTGTTCTTGTTTTTCTTATACTATAATGATATTATTTTGTATTCAGAAATAAATGAAACACTCATCTTTTAAGAGTTGTGACTTCTCTTGCTCCTGCTCTCTCAGCTTTCGTTGGGACTAGTTATTTAGTTTAAAATGTTCCTTTCTCTGCTTTGCTTGCTCCTCTTTTTCCTGCAGCTTGCTTCTAATGTCTGTTTCTTCTCTGTGTTTGCAGAGCTCCTCAGGAAATCAGCTGAACACACACTGGTTGACATGGTGCAGCTACTGTTCTCTAGGTAAAGCCAGTGGTTGATGAAGATGGGTGCAGCATTAGGTTTAACGTTTGAATGCTGACGTGTGTAGGATTCCCATTGGTTCTTTCTGATGGACTGTCTGAGTGAACTATGTCATTCAAGCAAAAACAATACTTCTAGAGTTTAACATTGGATGCTGCTTTGGTGTTTCTATCTTGAACAACAAGTAAAGAGTGGTTTCAAATCCCAACTCTTAAGTTACCTCTCCACAGAGGAAGAGCAGGCAGACTGCTGCTGCGCTCTTCATCACCTCTGGATTACACATCATCAGTTTCCTGCATATATCTGTCTCTCAGGCCTCATTATTCCCATGAAGCTCATGAATTTCATTTTGCTCTGTGCACAGGGTCAATGGGCCACTGATTCACTAATGCCATAACATGATTTCTCCTTTGGCATTTAGCATAAGGGCTCCTCTCTCCCCATCACCCCCCCATGCAGCAGCCAGTCCAGCTGCATCAGAGTGCCAGTCACATTCAGTCACAGACAAGGGGATGAGCCAATTGAGCTGCACAACACATGATCTGCATACAGATGAAGCTACAGCTCCCAGCCCCATACATACTAAGAAGCACACACACACGCTCGCACGCGCACACGCACACACACAGACACACACACTCACACATAGAGAATTAGCATTGCCAGCGATACCAGACAGAAGCAATCAGGAAAATCTGCTACAAAAAAAATCTTCCTACTGATCTGAATGTGAAGGAGCACACCTGCAGAACAAACAGAGCTCAAAATAAAGTTCTGGTGTTATTCACCTGCTCTCGGCAGACGGCATGGCTCCAGCAGGACTATTTGACACAAGATTTGTCACAAAGTGATGGATAATCTTCCCTCCAGTAAAGTCCAGTGTTGGTTTTTGCCAAGCTTGTCGCCATGCGCAAACGCTCCCTCCAAGCATTCTCGGCCTGTTTTCATTTACTGGGAGGACTCTCGTATGGCACCTTGTTATCATGACATTAAAAGGTTTTACTGCGCAAGCATGGCAACAGAGAAGCACGGTCGTAAACAGAGGCTCCCTGTACCACATATTGAAATGTAGTGTTGGCATTGCATTACTTCCTTCTGATACTGCTCACACACACACAGACACCACATCTCATTTCCCTCCAGTTCAACTCCCAGCCCTCACTTTGCCTCAGACCCTGGATAATAGAGATGTGAGAGGGTCTGCGCTGCCCCACCCCCCATCAAGGAGTGATGAACAGTTCTCCTCAGGAGTCTAAGATTGCCTGCTGAAAGTATTAGGCATGTTAATCTGTTGGACCCACAGATCATCCAATAATCGCGCTCGCAAGACAACACTCTATTAACGGGGGAGGGGGGGCGCAGACCCCTCTTATTTGTTGTGTTTGTCTGTGTGTATGTGTGCGTGACAGCTAGGACATCTCATTTTCCTGCAAAGCGTTAAAGTCCACAGAAGCTAGTGACACACACACACACACACACACACACACACACACACACACAGACACACACACACACACACACACAGACACACACACACACACACACACACACACACACACACACACACACACACACACACACACACACACACACATACACACACACACACACACACACCACACACACACACACACACACACACACACACACAGAGATTCCCACCCTGATATTGCCTTTTCAGAAGCACTCAGCCTAAAACAAGTTCCACATTCCTTTTGGATTAATTGTTTCTTTTGGTTTTTGTTATAAATCTCAATCTTGATGGAATTTCAGAAGCTTGTCATTTTTCACTATTTGCTGACAATATACAGTATAGACCAAATGATTTATTGATTGATAGTTAAAATAATGAATCATAGTTACTGGCTTTGAGTTCCCTAGTATGGGTCCAGACTGACCGACACAAAGGAACCAAATAAATAGTGCTAAACAAATGTAAAAGCTCGTGAATAACAGGCTAAGCTTTATATGCAGTTGGATGCAAATGAACAATGATGAACACTCTAAAACTAAAGCCAAAGCCAGAATAGTTAAGCATTCAGGTAACTATTCATTTCACATCCAATTCTGAAAAGTCACCTGATGAGTTGAGCCTCACTACATTTCAACATGTGTCTGCTTCACCACCTCATGCTCTGTGAGGTTCACCTGCTCAGTTGGCTTTTGTTTTAGTTCTGATGGAAATGTGCGCTGCATACATTACTTATTTTTCTCCATCATGGAATATGGACCTTTTTTAAACTCATCATCTGAACCATGAATTACAAAATAAATGTTTACCTGCAAGTTCTTGATATTCAATTTCCTGTATCTACAAGAAGAAGCCTTTCCCAAACATGGTCTCAACTGAACTATGTGTCATTTCTTCCAGACTACCACAGTTCAAAGAGGAGGCCAAGAGTTACGTTGGTGCCAACATGAAGAAGGTAAGGAACTGTAATGTTTCATTTGTATTTCATCTGCTAGCTATTATTGTTCCCTTATTCACAATTTCCAGTCTTGGTTTATCTCACTGTCATTGTGTTGTTTTTAAGTTTTCTGTCTTTTTATTGTTATCCAGGAAATAGCATGTTAGCTGAACATGTTCAAAAAAACCAAGAGCACCAATTATTCCTGCACATTTAATCTGTCGGTTAAATGACAAACATTCATGCAACAAAATAATTAGGTTTCAAAATCTGGATAAACTTTTAATCGGCCAGTTCTAATGATCCTATTCCTGTCTTCTGTTCCTAAACACGCAGTATCCTCTCCTCTAATTTCTCTCCTTTTATTTACATTTGGAAACTTTCAGTTGTTTTGGTTTGAGCTGCCCATTTCTCTACCTGTTTTCCTTTCCACAGACCTATCCTCTTTCCTTAGGGTCTTATTTATGCAGGGGTTGACTTATAAGTGGGATGTATGGGTGGGCTTTGGGTTGCTATTCAACTTTTCAATGTTTTCACGCACATTTTGAATGCCTTTAAATCATCACTGAATCAATTCCCTTTAAGCTTTTCACCATGACACATTTTAGTTGCTCTCAACTAATGAAAGTCGGAACTTTGAGATTTAAAAATATCCTTAAAGGCAATTTGTTACCAATGTCCCCACCTCAAGTAGAAGTATTGCTGATCAAAGTAAGGCTTGTCTGGGCCAGGCTGAGTGAAAAAGGCTTGATTGATCAGGACCACCACACTGTTTCAAACACTTACTCAGAAATAAATATTTTGTAATGCAACCAATTTTTCCGCAATACCGTTGAAAAAGTAGCGAAGGGCGCTCGCTGAAATGCATGCTGGGGTACCAGCGCCAAGTGCAGTAGTAGAACATGTGAAGCCGAATGTAAAGATGGACACTTAAGAAAACTAGAGAATGCAATTCCTGAAGAAATTGCTAGTGGGAATGCTTTATGCTGAAAAGCTGACGCTAAACTGCTATGCTGAAATGTAATGTGTAAGAAGAAAGTGAATCATTTAGATTGAAATGAAATGTGTAAGAAGAAAGTGAAGAATTTAGATTGAAATGAAATGTGTAAGAAGAAAGTGAAGAATTTAGATTAAAATGAAATGTGTAAGAAGAAAGTGAATAATTTAGATTGAAATGATACATGAACACTGGGGGCTTGAATGTGTGATGAGAAGAAAAGAAAGTAAAAAGGCTTGAAAAAGCAGCAGAATATTTGAACTGCAAATTTCTGAACTAACTTGATGGCGAATGATCTGTCACCATGGCAACGGCATTTGATGACACCCCATAATACGCTAAGATGCGTTGATGGCTGCATCGTTAACAAACCTGTGAAGTTTTGGGGCGTTTGGAGTATTTTCACTGAAGTTATGAGAAAGCCGTGTTTCATGGCGAGCATTGTGTTGCCATGGCAACGGCATTTGAAGAAATCTCAAAACTGTCCCGTAGATGTCTTCACGGCTGGACTGTTAGGACACATGTGAAGTTTGAGCACTTTTTGAACATTTTCATAGGAGTTATAGCGACATCATGTTTTATGGCGAGGGATGAGGGATAACCATATGCCGTTTCCATGGAAACGGCATATGGTGAGATCTCAGAGTTGGCGTAGAGCTGTTGAGGCATGGACCGGTGATATACAAGTGAAGATTGGGGGACGATTGGACCGTGTCCATTGGACTTACAGCCTCATCGTGTTTCATGGCGAGTGGTCTGTCGCCATGGCAACGGCATTTCATGACACCCCATACTACGCTTAGATGCATTGATGGCTGCATCGTTATCAAACCTGTGAAGTTCTGGGCTGTTTGGAGTATTTTCACTGAAGCTTTGAGAAAACCGTGTTTCAAGGCGAGCATTGTGTTGCCATGGCAACGGCATTTGGAGAAATCTCCAAACTGTCCAGTAGATGTCTTCACAGCTGGACTGTTGAAGTCTGCTGCATGGCAGTTGGAGTGATGACATCATCGTGTTCCATTACACAGGTGTTTATATTTGAACTAACGAGCTCTGTCGAGATCACAGGTTTCCATTGTTCTGAATGAGAGATGAACCTCTTACATGTGAACGTTTTGTGGAAGAACCGTAACAGATATCTGTGACATTTCAAAACGTGAAGCATGTCAAGGAAGTTGAGTATCTGAAGTGTAATTTTTGTGTACTTTCGGGTTAATAATGTGGCCTTTTTGGCAGTTTAACTAAAGGTGTGCGGCTGCTACCATGAGGAAATATCTGCCTGAAATTACAATGGGCTTCAATGGAGGAATGTTGAACGTTTTTGTCGCTTCATGCCCTCAAGAGGCATTTTGTTGAATTATTTTTGCTTAATTATTTGTCATTTTTCAAGCTACAAGATGTTTTCCTATATTTATCATGAACAATTATGTCCCAGGAATGTAGGGTTTGGGAATTATGGCAGTTTAAAAAAAATATATGAAGGCAAATTTCAAGATTTCTTACCCTCTAGCTGTGACATCACACACTCTAGTTAATGTTAAAATGTGAAGAAACCCTCTAAAACAAGGTCTGAACAAATGTTAATATCTCTAAAAGTAAGAATCAGATTTAAAAGTTGTTTCACACGAATAATGTCAGAAAGATTTGTAACATTTGAAAGTATGAATGAACAGTTAGCAGTTGAAGTCGCATGAAGATTTGTTGAAGTCTGAAGATTTCCTCCATTGACTTCAATGTTAAAAATGTGATGTATTATGGGATGTATCTCTGGAATTATGAAAGTTATGAATGAGAAAAGTAATAGCCATCGATTTCCGACCGAGCTGAACGTTTTGATGTTTGAACGGAGTTTCTGCGATGTTCAATGCGGGAGGAGAAGAGGGCTAAAATAAGTCTGCGGAATAATAATAATAAACTTTTCGTGCGTAGAATAACAGTTAGTGGGAATGCTGTTAACAGCATTCCCACTAACTGAGACTGGTGATGGAGATATGACACACTAGAAGAACTCGTGCCGAGAAGAGCTTTGTCTGTCGTTTGGAGGTTTTTTGGATTAAAGAAATCTGACGTGGACCAAACAAACATTGATTGAAAAAATGTTGTGGAACTGAAATTAATCCCCGAGGAGGTAACACAACTAATTTACTCCACCACCTCAAAAGAAAGCACTTATTGGAGTACGAAGAATGAATGAAAATACGATGTGCTTCAACAAGCAACGCTGGTGTTTAAAGCAAAGTCGAGTCAAGTGTGGCTTGAAGACGCATTTGTTCGGGGGACTGCCTATTAGTGTTGTCACGATACCAACATTTTGGTTTCGATACGATACCAAGTCAAGAATTGAGATTCAGATTCTTTTTCGATACTTTTCTTAAAAAAAGGGAAACAGTCTTACATTTTTTTAAATATTGTGCTTTATTTCACTCCAGAACCATAACACAAACTTTTAAACAATGAGAACAATAAATCAAATAAATGACTAGAATTTGTATTAAATACAATTAAGCATCATCTATAAACAACTTTTTCTTTTTTGTCAACAAGCCGACAAAGTTGCACTCCTACTTGCAGCCATGCTTCTTGTTTTCTCACATGCTCTGGCAGCTAGCGCGTGCACGAGAGAGGGGAGGGACTTAGAGCGTGCTTGACAGGGGAGTGCAGGGAGTGGAAGCAGAGCGCTGAACACACACGGCTCTTATTAAAACGGCACTTTCTCACCGGAGTACTTTCTCCCGTCATTCTTAAAGTACCGATACTAATGAAACGGAGGAATCGTAACGTTTTTAACGGCAGGGTATCACGGTACCTTTCAAGTATCGGTACACCGTGCAACACTAGATGACAGGAGTGTTTCCTGTATCCCATTGAACTGTGGGGGGAGAGAGGCGAACTGCAGGGTGTACCCTCTGCTGATCAGCCTGCTCATCCATCTGTCCATCAGACACACGCGCTGCCACTCTGAGAAACACTCAGAGAGCGGGCGCACATGCTCGAGATGTTCTGTGGTCGTCTTGGCGATGAGCCACGCCAGGGAACCTCCACACGCTGCGTTTCACTTCGGCTCTCATCATGAGGCGTGTACACGCTCAGGGGATGAATGGAGGTGTGTGCAGTGCTGTCCACACGAGGCGTTATAACGGCGCTCATGGGTTTATTGACCGTGTGTAGGAGGCGTATCTCGGACAGAGGAATGCCGCGAGCTCTGCAGTTTATTAACCGAGGTTAAAACCGGCAGGCTTTTGCAGCGAGCCCTGCTGTCTACTTAATCAACAGATTAGTGGCAGCCGGCTTAATTAGCGAGCTCTGCAGTTTATTAACCGATAGGTTAAAACCAGCAGGCTTCTGCAGCGAGCCCTGACGCCGTGGCGCTGGGGGCGCTCAGCCTGGAATACTGACAGATCAAGGATGGGTCTCATTCCCCCGTTCTGGCTTCTCTGTGATGTGCTGTAATGGTCGTCATGGTGACGAGCCATGCCATTGCCCTCGCTGCCGCTGCCCGTGAGGCGAAAGGGCTGCGAGGGAGTCTCCACATGCTGCATTTCACTCCGGCTCTCATCATGAGGCGTGTACACGCTCGGGATGAGTGGAGGTGTGTGCAGTGCTGTTCACATGAGGCGTTTATAACGGTGCTCATGGGTTTATTATGAGCGCCTCGGAGGCTCTCGTGGAGCAGACCAGGAGCGGGGGAGCCTCACTCCCCTTTGACTCGCCGCCGGGAGACGCTGTCTCTGGGGTGGCGGGGGAGCGGAGACGTGGGACGGAGCCCCTGCAGCCGCCGAAAGGGTGAGCCTGATGCCGAGGCGGTTGCTGTGGGCATCTCTCCGCTTGCGGCCTCTGCTGCCGCTGTGGCCGCCGCGGCTGCTGTGGGCGTTGGTGCCACTGTGGGCGCTCAGCAGGCTGGAGCCAGCTGACATGCTGGAGAATGTCGTCCGCCTGTTCCGCGGCCGTCTTCATGGACTCCAACATGGCGTGGAACTGGGGTCCGGGCTGATTGGAGCGTCCAGTAGCACTTTTCTGGCCG